TATAGTGAGAAAGGCACGAAGTAGGTATAATGGATCTCACCCAAGATTTGATTTTTAAAACCCAACCAACCTCTAAAGTTTATCGGCAATGGGTCAAATCTCTCTTACCTAACTATGAAAATATGGGTTTTTACCAAAATTTAAGTTTTGACCGCATTCATCATCCCCCGTTGTCAATGGTAGTTTCAATTCCCCTTTCAAAGTCCAATTTTTTTCTTACAATGTTCCAATCAATTATGAAAATATTGTAAGAGAATTAAAATAATTAAAAGATCGTTTATGGGAATTAAACTATAATTATTGAAGGTTGATTTGATTTTGATTTGATTTTGATTCAGCATATGAAACCATAAATAAGGTTCATGTATGTTTGCATGTGAGAATTAAGGGAAGGAATATTTAGGAGTAAAGAGTGGCATGTGACCCATGTGACTTCACGGCCCACTCTCTCTACCAAAAGAATCAAACCATATTGCAATTAAAAATATATATAAATTAAACCCATGTATAAGTTTATAAAACATATAATTTTTTTTTTTATTATGTATAAATAATAATATCCAAATAAAAAGAGAGAATTGTTGTTGTGTATATATATATATATATATATATATTTATAAAATATCTAATTAATACATTAGTCTATGCTGTGATAGCAAAGGAATCATGACAATTCAACACACTATTTAATTTATCAACTAATTAATTGGATACCCATTAAAAAAAAAAAAAAAAAAAAGGTGATATATATATATATATATATATATATATAAAAGAAAAAGCAGGAATCCAGCACACCTCACATGTAGGGGAAACATTGCTACTTCCCCGCGTATAATACAAAATATGATGAAGCAAAGTAGAGGGGAATTGAATTTTTTATAATTTGTTTGGCCAAGTATTTATGATAATAATCAGTGATGGTGGTGGGCTGCTGCGGCTGCGGCGGCGGCAGCGGGTCCGGCAGCTGGCGGAGGCTTGCACTGATAGCATTTGGCGAAGAGTCCGAAAGTGTCGACTTGTCTAACGAAGTTGGTCATGCTGGCCCAGCCACCGAAACCAAACCCAACGACGAAAACCCACACCACCACGAATGTGTTTAATGCATACATGCCAGCCCAGCTGGGTAAAAAGAAGGGAGGCTTCTCTGCAGCATTCTGCCAAATATATACACACAATATAATTATTACCCAAGAATTGAAATCTTTTAAGAGAAGATACAAAGCTGAATGGGTCAAGCAGAATGAATAAAGTTTTAATTTTTATTTAGGTTGGAGAGGTTTGGGAGCGAGTCAAGTCGGCCAGCTCACGGAAAGACAGAGTACAACACTGGCATTGTAGTACGTACATAACTGAATGATAGGGACAAGCCACCTATCTCTAATCCTCCGCTCGTAACATTTCCATATCCAACTATTTAATGCTTCTTTGTACACTAGCCAGTTGCCATTTCACTTTTTTTCTTTTTTGAGATTGGATGAAGATACGAACTCAATTCTTCATCAACTCTCGAGTAAGAGTGTTATGTCATTTAAATTATATGTTCTTATACAGTTGTCGCTTGCGAGACAGTAGAATTCGAGATCAAATAAAATCTCAAACAAACCCTTAATAATTATGACTTGAACCATACATAAAGTGACCTAAAAGAGGAACTAAGGGTCATGTGGGTGTGGGGCAGGTAACCAAACAAACAAATTAAAGGGCTTATATATTATAAAGAGTAGTGAGGTGAATCAATAATGACGAAAGTGAATAAAGAGAGATGAAATGAAATGAATTGAAATGAAATTCACCTGTCTGGCAGAGGCTTTCCTGTAAGTAAGCATATGGGCTAGAGACGGGATGATGTAGACGGTGAAGCTAACCAGAAGAGCACCAACCGCTGAGTTTATAGGTCCAAAGAATGGGAAAATTATAGCCAAAAACCATATGGGTATGACCACTGGTAGTCTTGCCAGTGCTCTCAGGCATATGCTCTTGGTATCATGCATGCCGATCACCTTCTCCCATACAAAGTACAACGGCGTACATGCGAATCCAAATGTTATGAACTGGAAAATTAAGTACAAAGATTTAGACCCATGTTATAGTTTTAATAGAATCTCTTGTTAATTAGTGATGGTGATTCAATTATAGTCGACCTGGTGAATGAGCATGAGGATGACTGCAGCATCACGGAATCCGTTCTTCGGGAGGAGAGAGAAGGCGTTAGAATGGTTCAGAAGCTGGTCACCAAACGCCCAGTAGACGGCGGAGGCTGACGGAATCGTTAGAGTGAAGACGTACAATGTGGCCAGCAAGTATATATACTTGAACTTTTGAGGCTTCCACATGGCGTGCATGATTTCCCTGCAAATATGTATTTAAACCCACCTACGTAAATTACACGATGGACCCCAAAAATGACAATTCCAACTTTAACAAAATGGATTGATTCTAAACTTTTCTTTTTCCTTTCCCTTCTAGCATCCACTTTCTTATAAAATCATCACTTAACTATGATAATGCGAGCTCATCCAGAGAGAAGTAACCCAAATGACTGAAATGCCCCTCACTCATCAACCCATTGGATTACCCTTACCATAATGAACGCAGCGTTCCAGATTTATGATGAAGAAATTATGGTTTAGATAAAAGACAAAGAGACGTAGATTAATGACGAAAATCAACGAGTAAGGAACAGGGAAAAACAATTCAAAAACCCACTGTGTTTTGGACGTACGTAGTAGGACCAAACATTATTTATTCAAACCCATATCTGCATATATACTGTGCGATTTTCCAAAGAGAAAATGAGGAAGAAAAAAGAAAGAGTTAATGTTGTTTTGAGAGCAAACAAAAGTTTTTTTTTTTTGCATGATTATGTCTGGGTCTCGAACCCCAATATAGCCGGCAAAAGCTGCAAAGAGAAGCCGTGTAGAAACAAGTGACGGTGGAGGAGAGGATCGCTTTAGTTTCTACCGTAAAACAGTAAAAAGTAAATAGAGGAAAATAAGAAGGCTTACACAGTGACGGCGTGTCCACCAAATGTATAGAGTATATTGGTAGCACCGGTGAAGTAGAGAACTAGTTTTGTTGGACCCGAGTGTGTCACACCATCAACCTGCAAATAAACAGTAAATAGTCTTGATAATCTTGTAAATATAGTGTAAATATAATGAAGGTTTTTAATAATAAGTAATAGTACTGTAAAATGAATACCTGGCCATGAACAATTGCAGCAATGGCCATGTACCAGGCGGTGTAAGTAGTCATGCCAAGGCCAAGGAAAGACCAAATCCGGTAGTTGTGAAATGAGGGTATGAAGACGGTTGTAGCACAGCAAGCTCCGAAAATGTATGTCCACGTTCTCTTATCCAATCGATCGTTGATGTAGTAGATGTTACTGTTCTCATATATATGCGTGCATACATATATATATAAATAGTCAGTCAAAGAGAGGAACAATAAATGAAAACCCAGTTGTGGGTAATTGTATTTGTGGTGATCCAGAGAAGGGTAGGATGAAAGAAGTTACCTTGCGCAGGCTATGAGTTGAATGACAGATCCAAACAAGAGGAAGGTACAGTTGAAGGCCAGTCCTGCTGCCTTCCAGTATGGACCCAGCAACCCATCAAGAACTTCGAACCACTGAAATCAGAAAAATAGTTTTGGTGAGAGCTGAGATAAATTTTGTGGGCTGTGGAAATTGGTAATGGTGGAAAACTAACCTGTATAACATGGTTTTTAAAGCTCACGTTCTCTTTCTCCGTCCTGCTTCTGTACTCTATGTAGAGCACACTGATGAGATATGCAGTCCAGCTTCCAATAAGTCCATAGAATATCTGCAACAAAATGCCTGATAACATGCCCAGTTGAGAGAAGGAGTAGGGAAGTGTTAGCAGAACTTGGGCCACCTGCGAGAACCAGGAGAAAATTAAACAAGAGGAGTTAGTCGGAGTAGTGATGGGAAATGATCAAGAAGGTTTTAGAGATATATACTTGATTGGAGGCACAACTGAACCAGGCGTCCCAAACAGAGCCACCATGCCAGAGGAGGCTCTTGACGCTGAAGATGGAGGAGTGTTCGTCTTCCTTTTGATCATCACGAGCTTCCTCTTTGCCCTCTTGTTCTGTCTCACTGAAGGTGGAGACTATTGCTTCTTCTGCTTGCTTCTGAGGCAACATTGTCTTCGTTTTTCTCTAAAGCCAACGGTTAATTCCTGGTAGATCTGAAACATATATAAGACAGTTAATGAGACAAAAAAAGTAAAAAATAAAAATAAAAGAAAAGAAAAACTACAAATCAAACTCAACCCCGAGAAAACGAAAGCCAATAAGACACCGCCCAGATCAAAACACCAAGAATTCCTTCCCAAACTTTTGTAATATACTGCTCTATATGCGCTATCACGGAAAACCCAGAATAAAGATGAGAAAGAAAGAAACCCATTAGCACTTTCAACATACCTTACTCTTGAGACGTCTCTTTCTGGAAAAAGGACTGAAGAAACCAGAGAGAGAGAGAAAGAGAAATGGTTGAATGACCCAAAAATGAGTGTTGTGATCTCTTTTTCCAGAATGGAAAACAGCGAGTAAAGTGTAAATATAAAAAGAGAGAAGTCACAAACGAGCAGAGTACAGTTGGGTAGCAGAGAGTTTTTAAGAATTCTCCATTCCAAGATTTGGCAGAGAGAAGGAGAGGATGCAGCAGAGACAGGAGCTTTAAATGCTCTGAAATAATTGCAACAAAATCTCCAGCTTAGAATCTCTTTGCTTCAATGGCTCTGTCTTACTCCCCCCTCTACCTACTTTAATGCGCCACCAATTTCCTCAGAGAAAGAAAAAGGCAGAGCCGCACCCAAAGACGGCTATCACAGACCTTAAAAGCAGGAAAATCTGCTCCTCCCTACCAACAGAGGTTGAATAAAAAAGACCCTTTTTCTTCTCCTATTCAACCAAACACAAACACCTAACACAAAGCATGTATATATATATATATAGATAGATATATAACAGTAGTGTATTTTTCGTTTGCTTTGAAATTCCTCCTCAAACAGAGAAAAAAAGCAAAAAGAAAAGAGAGAAATGGTGAGTGAGAATGACGAAACCCCAAGTTCCCTGTATTCCCCTTGTGATTCGATTCTCTGGTTTTGTTTTTGGTGGTGGGTAGGAGAATTTTGGGATCTAAGTAAGGAAGAAGCGACTGAGAGCTTGTTCTCTCATCAGTTCAGGAGGAGGAGACTTAAACCCATATATGAACCTTGCTTTTTATAGCCCATAATGTCTTCAAACACTTTCTTTTTCTTTTTAACTATTTACCTTAAACTCCACTCTAATTATTCATTTGACTTCCATTAATATCTTTGCTTTCATTTTCCTTTTTCTAAATCCATATGTTCTATTTAAATATATAATGAAATTTATATTTTTGTATCAATGTTAAATTTCACAGCAGATACTGTTTCCATAATTTATTTATTTATACATTTTATATGCTTTTTGGAAATCCTTTAAAGCTCAGATCCAAATCTCAGTCAACAATTCCATGGATGTATGTATTTTCCCAATTAATTCCACTTTATTATTATTATTATTATTTTTTTTAATAAAAAAATTAGAATATATATAATGAATACTTGAAGTTCCGTCAAACCATCCTTCACCTCTCCATTTGCTTGTTCCCGAGTTGAATTGTGGATAGATGGGTACCTTTTTTCTTTTACAGTAGTATATAACATAATGCATAAATCTTGTTTTCTAAATTTAAATCTTTTTAAATTTATAATCATATTATCAATTTTAAATATAATTTTGATTGATCTATAAATAAGTTTAAATATCTAAATTTATTTTTTGGAAGAATATATTGATTGGAACGGGAAGAGCTATGCGTGCAAATAGATAACAATGGTCTTGATCTTAGAAATTTATCATGTCTTACCGAGTTTGACTAAAAATAATATATGATAACTTTTTAATAATAAAAGACGTATTGTTTCATAAAATTCTAAAACCTCATTAGTTTATTAAGTACCTTTAACGTTCGGTGATAGACACTATTAACAAAAATATATAAATTTAACACGAATGAATTTGTTACAGGCAACCAAGATGTTACAATGGGAGACACGATCAGAGATAATTAAAAATATTATTTCACGCACAATATTAAATAAATCAATCAAATAACATTAAATGTAGCGGCCCCGGAAATATTAAAATGAAATGAGTATTTAAATATATCAATTGCGGAAGCGAGATCAAAATTTCAGTTAACATCCTTTACACGAAAAACCAAAAACGTACTTAAAATATAAAAGATTAAACTAACTAAGAGAGAAACTCGAAAATAAAACTATGAGTATAACTACAGAGTCTCTAGGCATCCCCTTCGTCGTCCTCCTGCGGAACGGGCTCGGGAACCATGTCTTCCTGATCTGAAATGGTTAAATAAGGAGTGAGCTACACTAGCCCAGTAAGAACATCACGATATCTCACCGTCACGGAGGTAAAGGTGGGTAGAAAAACACAAAAAGACCAATGGAGCATAATTTACAACAAACTCGTTTATTAACATGAAAACCTTTACCATCCACTTACCTCGGTGGAATTTATGAAAACAATATAAGAAAACAATAACATTATCATAATCATGGAATAATATAAGCTGTAAAACATAACACTTATCATGCCTCTTGTAATTCAATCATTGTACAACATATCTTTTTCTCATTTACCAGCCTACTAGTATCCGTGGGGGTCCATAGGGGTTCCGCTACCCGTTAACCTTTAACATTCATAATCAGTTTTCAGGGCCGTCCCCATACCCCGTCCGGTATGGGCGCTAAAACCATGAACCTCAATACCCCGTCCGATATGAGGGTGAAACGGGCCGTCCCCATACCCCGTCCGGTATGGGCGCCAAAATCATAAACCTCAATACCCCGTCCGGTATGAGGGTGAAACGGGCCGTCCCCATACCCCGTCCGATATGGGCGCCAAAACCATAAGATCTCCATACCCCGTCCGGCATGTGAGACCACAATCCCGGTAGGGTTCCCTAGGGACCCGGTCCGTCCACCATCTCCCAGAATATCTAGTCAGGCTGACCCCCATAATACAATTATCAGTCTACACAATCTTTCATTTTCCTTTTCCTCAGTCAGCATCATCAATTCATAT